TAGTCTGATCCAATCATAAAACTTGCTCATTTATTTTCCTGTCACCTTCCCTACCTATATGCTTAGCCTGAACAAGGCTGTGTGAAACCTTGGGCTTCTGTTCAACTCCGAGAAGGATTTTAATCCTCATGTTCTATCTATTCCAAGACTTCTGACTTCCACATCGGTGACCTAGTACTCCTCCATTCCTGCCTTTTCCCTACTGTGCTGCATCACATCTGGACTCTATTTCATCAACATCTTCTAGAGCAGCCTTCCATTCTTTAATTTTCAATGTCCTAAACTCTGCTTGCCTATCATCTGCTTAAACACATTCATTGATCCTGGTTGCCACTGTCCTCTTCTTCAAATTACTCACTTGATTTCACCCCAAAAATCATCTCCATCCTCTTTCCCATTCATGCAATACTCAGGCATTCTTTCCACTTGACTGCTCCCCTGCACCGTCGTTAATGGTAGAGCTATCAACTCCCTTGGAATTCATTCCCTAAACCCCTCTGTTTCCCACCCGACATTATTTAAAGCCACCTTAAAATTCATCTTTTTGAAACCGCTTTCAACCATCCTTCTTCCTAATTTTGTACTGAACTTAATCCATTCACAAGACGTAGATATCGTTGGCAATGCCAGCATTTATTGCCTTATTCCTAATTGCTCTGAAGAAGACGGTGCTGAACTGCCTTCTTGAATTGTTGCAGTTGGACAAGGAGTTCCGGCTCTCTGACCCGGCAACTGTGACCAACGGTCATAGAACAGTACGGCACAGTACAGGCCCTTCGGCCCACAATGTTGTGCCAACCAATTATCCTACTAAGATCAAACTACCCTGCATACCCTACATTTTACTATCCTCCATGTGCCTATCCAAGAGTTGCTTAAAAGTCTCTAAAGTATCTGACTCCACTACCACTGCCGGCAGCGCGTTCCACACGCCCACCGCTCTCTGTGTGCAGAACCTACCTCTGACATCTCCCCTATACATTCCTCCAATCACCTTAAAATTATGTCCCCTTGTAATAGTCATTTCCACCCTGGGAAAAAGTCTCTGACTATCCACTCCATCTATGCCTCTCATCATCTTGTACACCTCTGTCAAGTTACCTCTCATCCGTCTTCGCTCCAATGAAAAAAGCCCTAGCTCCCTCAACCTTTCCTCTTAGGACCTGCCCTCCAGTCCGGGCAGCATCCTGATAAATCTCCTCTGCATCCTCTCTAAAGCTTCCACATCCTTCCTATAATGAGGTGACCAGAACTGAACACAATATTCCAAGTGTGGTCTAACCAGAGTTTTACAGACCTGCAGCATAACCTCACAGCTCTTAAACTCAATTCCCCTGCCAATGAAAGCCAACACACCATACACCTTCTTTACAACCCTATCAACGGGTAGCAACTTTGAGGGATCTATGGATGTGGACCCCGAGATCCCTCTGTTCCTCCACACTGCCAAGAATCCTGCCGTTAACCCTGTATTCTGCATTCAAATTCGACCTTCCAAAATAGATTACTTCACACTTTTCCGGGTTGAATTCCATCTGCCACTTTGCCCAGCTCTGCATCCTGTCAATGTCCCATTGTAACCTACAACAGCCCTCCACACTATCCACAACTCCACCAACTTCCGTGTCATCGGCAAACTTACTAACCCGCCCTTCCACTTCCTCATCAAAGTCACTTATAAAGATCACAAAGAGCAGAGGTCCCAGAACAGATCCCTGTGGAACACCACTGGTCACCGAGCTCCAGGCTGAATACTTTCCATCTACTACCACACTCTGTCTCCTATTGGACAGCCAGTTCTATATCCAGACAGCCAAATTTCCCTGAATCCCATGTCTCCTTACTTTCTGAATGAGCCTACCTTGGGGAATCTTATCAAATGCGTTGCTAAAATCCATATACACCACATTCACTGCTCTACCTTCATCAATGTGTTTTGTCACATCCTCAAAGAATTCAATAGGGCTTGTGAGGCATGACCTGCCCCCCTCAAAGCCATGCTGACCATTTCTAATCAAACTGTGTTTTTCCAAATAATCATAAATACTATCTCTCCGTATCCTCTCCAGTAATTTGCCCACCACAGAAGTAAGACTGACCAGTCTGTACTTCCCAGGATTATCCCTGTTCCCTTTCTTGAACAAGGGAATGACATTTGCCACCCTCCAATCATCTGGTACTACTCCAGTGGACAGTGAGGATGCAAAGATCATTGCCAAAGGGGCAGCAATGCCTTCCCTCGTTTCCCGTAGCAACCTTGGGTATATCCCGTCTGGCCCAGGGGACTTAACTATCCTCATGTTTTTCAAAATTTCTAGCACATCCTCCTCCCTAACATCAATCTGTTCAAGCATATCTGCCTGTTTCATGCTGTCCTCACAAACGTCAAGGTCCCTCTCACTGGTGAGTGCTGAAGCAAAGTATTCATTAAGGACGTCCCCTACATCCTCCGACTCCACGCACAAGTTCCCTCCACCATCCCTGATTGGCCCTACCCTCACTCTGGCCATCCTGTTGTTTTTCACATAACTATGGTACGTCTTGGGGTTTTCCTTGATCCTACCGGCCAAGATTTTCTAGCTCTCCTAAGTCCATTCTTCAGTTCCTTCCTGCCTACCTTGTAGACCTATAGAGCCCTGTCCGATCCTTGCTTCCCAACCTTAAATAAGCTTCCTTCTTCCTCTTGACTAGATGTTCCATGTGTCTTGTAGTTCAAGGTTCCTTCACCTTACCATCCCTTCCTTGCCTCAGTGGGACAAACCTATCCAGTACTTGTAGCTACTGCTCCCTAAACAACTTCCGCATTTCTGTTGTGCATTTCCCAGAGAACATCGGATCCCAATTTATGCTCCATAGTTCCTGCCTAATAGCATTATAATTCCCTTCCCCCCACCCCCAATTAAATACTTTCCTATACTGTTTGCTCCTATCCCTCTCCATGACTATAGTAAAGGTCAGGGAGGTGTGATCACTATCACCAGTATGCTCTCCCACCGAGAGATCTGACACCTCGCCTGGTTCGTTGCCAAGCACTAAATCCAATATGGCCTCCCCTCTAGTTGGCCTATCTACATATTGAATCAGAAATCCTTCCTGGACACACCTGACAAAATCAGCTCCATCCAAACTATTTGCATTTAGGAGGTTCCAGTCTATACTGGGGAAGTTGAAGTCACCCATGACAACAACCTGATATACTCGCAAGACAGGGTGGTGAGTGGCTTAGAGGGGAACTTGCAATTGGTGGTGCTTCCATGTACCTGCTGCCGTTGAGTTTCTAGGTGGTAGTGGTCTCAGGTTTGAAAGTTGCTGTTGGAGGAGCCTTGGTGAGTTACTGCATTGCATATTGTAAATAGTACATTCTGCATCTGTAGTGAAGGGAGTGAATGTCGAAGCTGGTGGCTGGGGTGCCAATCAAGTGGGCTGCTTTGCCCTTGTTCTTCCTGTATATGCAGAACTTGAGTTCTAATATCCTTTACGAGAGTTGCTGTTGGCCCAATTCCCACGCTGAGGTTGGAAGCATTGAATCAGGGTGGTTCCTGGTTCCCTAAAGTTAATCTGGGAAGGAGCGCCCTAGATTTTGTTCTTGTTCTGTTCTCGCAAAGTGAGGTTTTATTGGAATCAGGCCATAGTCCCTCTTCAAAGACTCTAACAAATCAGTCAAACTTTGAAAATGCAAAGCACCCCATTGTGATGCTTAAAATGGTAAAATCAGTCATGCAGCACTATTGTAGTAATGGTAACCATCAAGCTTATACCAGCAGACAGTGAAATAGCAAGTAATGATTTTTATGTTAAACAATGTATTGAGACTTTTTTGCATTGTTAGCTTCCTGGCATTTCAAATGTTTTCATATCTGTTCTTGACATTTCCAATGAGTTTCTGCACAGTTTATAAATGTTCATGTCTATGTTTAGCATTCCAAATGGCACTTTACATCTCCAAAAGGGCACCTCAACTCCTGTTAGGGTGTCACGGGAACACATCCAGTGCCATATCTCCTGGAGACTATCTCTCCCTTCCAAAGCACGGAGGAAAATTTAGACCTGCTATTTTATACTTATTTGAAATCACAAGTTTTTGTAATGCAGCTGCTTCTTCATCTGACGAAGAAGCGGTGCTCCAAAAGCTTGTGATTTCAAATAAACCTGTTGGACTATAACCTGATATCATGTGATGTCTGATTTTTGACCACCCCAGTCCAACACTGGCACATGCACATCGTTTTTGATTGACACCTATCTCTGTGAACTGCAGGCATGCATTTTGGAACTTACCCCCAATCCACTTTTCACTACTTACAACTCCCACCCTTGCAAAGGTAGTGCTGCCTGTTCAGGACAGGATTGGACATCAGCCTCTTCCTGTTTTCTCAACAACAGAGAAGCTCTATGCCATTGGAAAATTTCAGACCAAAATACTTTTAACCAGTCACTAAAATATCTTTAAATTGTGAAACATTTGTGATTGCTGCCAGTGACCTGACAATGTTCTGTATGTACGTTTGCAGTTTGTTTTTTTGTAGTATTACAGACTATGTCAGAATTTGACACTGCACTACAGAAGGTTTCTATCATCTTTAGAGGATTTAAGGAAATGCCTCTGTTAAGTAACTGTTGGATAAGCTACATTTGGGAGGCATGATACAAGTTCTGAAATACAGCTGTGGAGATAAATGGGGGGAGAAAGAAACAAAGAGCTGCAAATGCTGGAAAACAGAAACAAAATTAGAAATTGCTGGAGAAACTCAGCACGTCTGGCAGCATCTGTAGAGAGAAAGCAGTTAACATTTCTGGTCCAGTGACCCTTCTTCAGAACGATACCTGGAAGTGCTACTTGACCTGCTGCAATAAATGGGGATCCTATCATTACTGTTGGATTTTGTAGTAGTTTTTAAAAGATTTTGATCTACAGACAATAGTTCATTCCAAATGAGAACATTGTGTAGTGATTGAATCCTCTGGCTCCTTACCAATGCTTTCTTTTCTATCTCTTACAGGAATTTTTTCCAGTTAGCCTGTGATGTACCAGAACCAGAAGAAAAATTTAATATTGATGAATACTCTGACATGGTGACACTAAGCAAACCGGTTATTTACATCTCCATTGAAGAAATTATAAATACTCACTCGGTATGTGTCAGTGGCTTGGTATTGAAAAAGTTATTCAAAAGGACATACTTGTTTTTCTTTAATAGAGCTGTCGTGGGTATGATATTAATAAGAGAAAACAGCAATTTGTAGTTATATGGTGCAAATCTTTAACAAAGGATACTTTGCAAAGGCTTCATCAATCTAAAATGGACACTGAGCAGAAGAGAGCTATGAGAAGGTGGAAAAAGAATTGGTCAGAACGTGTGTTAAGGGAATTGGAGAAGCTTTAGGAAGGGTAGCTGGCCTAGGTGGTTTAAGGCATGATTTCAAATTATACTGTGGATGGATGCAAGTCCTCAGGTTTCCTGAGTTTCAAAGTAAATCATCTTTGGCCAGCTCAAGGAAGACTCTCAAATAAGAGGCGCTCAAAGGAAGCATTTCAAAGACTCCGTGAAAGCTTCTGTCAAGAAATGCAACCCAGGTGTCAATGCATGGGAGATCCTCATTCAGAAGAAACTGACTTGGAGGAAGTTTCTGTATGAAGGGGAATAATTCTTTGAGGACACCCATTGGGAGGAGGAAGTAAGAACAAGGAGCCAGAGAAAGGAATGCCAACAATCTCAAGGTCATGGACCAATTCCTCCACCTAGACAGACCTACGTGGTGGGAGATGAGGCTCTAAGATTAAGCTTATTAGCCACACACAAGGATCCCCAGAAACCATGACCAGTGGCATGGAATTTCCTACGTTAGTGAGTAATTACCTTTGACAGCGGTGACAGGTTGGTATAATAAAGATCAGGGAGCAGAGGTGGGGAGATTTTGTTGTGCTGTCACATTACACAAAAATATAGTTTGAAAGGTTTTTGAAATCATTGCCGGTCAAGATGGGGTTTGTTCCAAATAATATTTTGCTGTCTATCTACTACCTGAACTAAGTTTGGATGACCAAGCATTTACAGGGGATGTTAAATTGATGAGGGTGAGGTTGGGGTAAACCAGGAGGCTTTGAGACTTTATAATGTGGGATGGCAGGCTGGAATGAAAGTTTCAGCAGACAATGGGCTGAGATATAATCAAGATGCAGGTGATGCTATAAAGGTGGAAGTGCATATTCTTCGTGCTGAAGAATGTACTGGGTCTGAAGCTTTGTTGTAATAAGAAATATGTTTAATTCAATGTTTGGTAGTCTTTCATGCCATTTTACTAGCCTCAATTAAATTATCTGCAGTCAAAATAAGTTTGTCATAACTTGTAGTGTTTTTACTATTAAAGTGCTTTTCTTTTCGTTGCTGTAAAGAAGTGATAATACATTGAGCATATATTTGTTCACTGTAAGCAATGTCATCTCCATGTGATGTGCAAGTATCCACTGAAGGATTCAGTTCTTTCAGGCACCAGGGTGATTACTGCACTGAAAGCCTCAGCTCTACCTGTGCAAATATCTGTACTGCACCACAGTAGAAAGGAATATTAACAGTGGCATTGAATCACTGTCCTTTTGTTTGGAGTGACACTGAGAGTTCAAATTTGCAGGTACTGCATCAGCAACGTAGTTCTTAATGGATTGGACCAAGGATACCCATGTTGAAGTGGGCTCTTGTGGCACAGTGGTAGCGTCTCTATCTGTGAGCCAGAAGGCTGGGTTAAAGTCCCACTTGCTCCAGAGGTGTGTCATGTCAGGTTGATTTAAAACTATCTACCCATAGTAAAAGCATTGCAGAAACAGATTTGCAAGTCATCTGTGTTAACAAAATCCACAGTAGCTGGATGCTACCAGCTTGCTTTAGGAGTAAATATAACAGTGGTATTTGTTAAAACTGGGGAATATGTTTTTCAAAGTCCCTTGTTAAAAGTGTGGGAGATTCTTTTAAGGTGTTTATGGTTTTTTAATAAGCTAAGATTATGTTGCCTAGATACTTTGCTCATTTTATCTTAATATTATCTCAAACAGGTATTGTTTAGAACTAGAGATAGTAGGAACTGCAGATGCTGGAGAATCCGCGACAACAAGGTGCAGGGCTGGATGAACACAGCAGGCCAAGCAGCATCATAGGAGCAGAGAGGCTGACGTTTCGGGCCTAGACCCTTCATCAGAAAAGGGGGAGGGGAAGGGGGTTCCGAAATAAATAGGGAGAGAGTGGGAGGCGGATAGAAGAGGGATAGAGGAGAGGATAGGTGGAGAGGAAACAAACGGGTCGAAGAGGCGGGGATGGAGCCAGTAAAGGTGAGTGTAGGTAAGGAGTTAGGAAGGGGATAGGTCAGTCCAGGGAGGATGGATAGGTCAAGGGGGTGGGATGAGGTTGGTCGGTAGGAGATGGAGGTGCGGCTTCAGGTGGGAGGAGGGGATAGGTGGGAGGAAGAACAGGTTAGGGAGGCAGGGACGAGCTGGACTGGTTTTGGGATGCGGTAGGGGGAGGGGAGATTTTGAAACTTGTGAAATCCACATTGATACCATTGGGCTGCAGGGTTCCCAAGCGGAATATGAGTTGCTGTTCCTGCAACCTTCGGGTGGCATCGTTGTGGCACTGCAGGAGGCCCAGGATGGACATGTCGTCTGAGGAATGGGAGGGGGAGTTGAAATGGTTTGCGACTGGGAGGTGCAGTTGTTTATTGCGAACCGAGCGTAGGTGTTCTGCAAAGCGGTCCCCGAGCCTCCGCTTGGTTTCCCCGATGTAGAGGAAGCAGTATACCACATTGGCAGATGTGCAGGTGAGCATCTGCTTGATGTGGAAAGTCTTCTTGGGGCCTGGGATGGGGGTGAGGGAGGAGGTATGGGGGCAGGTGTAGCACTTCCTGCGGTTGCGGGGAAAAGTGCCGGGTGTGGTGGAGCTGGAGGGGAGTGTGGAGCGGACAAGGGAGTCACAGAGAGAGTTGTCCCTCCGGAAAGCAGATAAGGGTGGGGAGGGAAAGATGTCTTTGGTGGTGGGGTCGGATTGCAGATGGCGGAAGTGTCAGAGGATGATACGTTGGATCCGGAGGTTGGTGGGGTGGTACGTGAGGACGAGGGGGATTCTTTTTTGGTTCTTATTGCGTGGACAGAGTGTGAGGGATGAGTTGCGGGAAATATGGGAGAACTAGTTTAGAACTAGAACTAGTTCTAGAACATTGTTTAGAACTAGTTTGGTTTGACTAAATAAACCTGCCAGCTCTGAGTCATCCAGTTTAATTAAAGGCTGGCTGAACATGCTTTTAAATAATTCTAGTTTTTCAGCATTGTTGGTGAAACTTTAACTACACTTGGCTTCTCCTACACGTTGTCTAATATCATCTGCCCTCTGTTAATTCCAATTCATCCAAAGCTTCACAGACTGTATCATGTCCCAAATTGAACATATTTACCCACTGCCTTCAAGGTTGTTGGCCTATGTCGAATTCCTTATCCTAGTTGAATTTTATATTAATTGGGTGTCTCCACGTTTCTCCATTGCTTTGTAATACCTTCTATCTGGAACTGCTAGCTCACCATTCCCATGCATGTCTTCTGATTCTAGTCCTCTGCCTATTCCTTTCCTCATCTTCTCCAATCCAAAACATCATTTGTTCCCTTCAGCACCTTCATCTCCATTCTTTGGAATTCTTTTCCCAAACCCCTCTATCACCTTTTCTCCCTCAACATTTAAAAGGCTTCTTAAAGTATTTGCCTTTGAGATTGAAAAACATCAACATTCACTGCTTTCTCATGATACTAAGTTCTACTTGAACGCATTTTTCCCCTGTGGCTTATCCTTTTGCTGAATCAACAATATATTTTGCCTTGTGTATCACTTCCGTCTCCTGTCTGAAACTAAGCATTTTTAATAAACCCCTGTTTTCCTGAGCTTGCGTTAGTTCAGTTTTCTTAAGTCTTGAGCTGATGTGAATATGTGCAATAATTAGAACCCTATATTTTATCATTCTGTTTCTGATGGACTGCTCTGTACTCATTATATGTCCATAATGTACTGAAGCTTCTGTGTATTTAGTATATATAACTTGTCCAAAAGCCCATACAAACTGTAGAGAATAAAGACCTTTATATATAGAGGACTGGAGTACAAGAACACAGCTATACAAAATTTGGAGCACTGAGAGCAGATCTGGGTAGCACACCTGAGGAAGCCTATATCAGTCTCGGAGGGAGTACAACATACATTTACGTGAGGATTAAGTTATGAGGAGGTATTATGCAAGTTAGGGCTGTTTTCCCTACAATTTAGAAGCTTAACGGAACTAGGGGGCATAGAGTAAATATTAGGCACAGACAGTTCTGGAGTAATGTTAGGAAGCCATTCTATGCATTAAAGAAGGTAAAGGTTTGGAACTCTCTCCCATAAATGGAAGCCAATGCTAGATCGGCTGTTAATTTTAAAACTGAGATAAATACATTTTTGTTAAGCAAAGATGCTTGCATGTAGCCAAAGGGCAGGTACATTGAGTTAGGCCACAGATTGGTCATGATCGCATTGAATGGTGAAACAAGCTTGAGGGGCTGAATGGCTCCTGATCCTATGTTCCAATGTTTACACAATTGCCACTTGATCTCCCCAGCTTGCATCGGTGCAGAATTTGCTCCTTCCTCTATGTAGTTGTGTCTCTGTTCCATACCAAGAATTGTTCAACTCCCCATTGTATCAACTAAATCTTCACAATTTATTCATGGCTCGGCGTTGATCAGCATTAAACATTGACCTTGCTGATCCGTTTATAGTCTTTCAGCTTTAGTTGTTGGTTTCTGCAGTTGAGATGTTATGGACCTCTTTAATGTTAACATTCATCTCTCTCTGCACCTTCTCGGCAGCTGTGACATTGTACCCTGCACTCTGTTCTGTTACCCTGATACACTTGGATAGTGCAACCTGCCTGTAAAGCACGTAAAACAACACTTTTCACTGTCCCTTGGTACATGTGACCATACGAAGTCAAATTAAAGTGGATTGTGGAATGTTTCCATATAAAATTCATCCATTGAAATATGATTGATTCTTTTTGTCCCCCACTTAACTTCCTCCTGTTTATAACTACCTGATAGCTGTCCATCTGATGACTGCACAGTCTTT